CATCCTTATAATGAGGCTTTTTATCAGCTATCATCAGATATGTGTTAGAATACATATCAAAGCTTTAACCATCTTTGTTTATTGCTGTTGAAATAAAGATGTTAGATGTTATGTCAATTATCAAAGCAACAATTATCCATGTGACTGGATGTAACTGTAAAACAGAGCTGCATTCGGACCCCAAAAAATCTGACCCAACCCAGCCCCCAGCCCGTAGCCATCATTTCCGAACCCCACCCGGACCCGACAACTTAACAGTAATTACAGGTTCGAACCCCACCCCCAACATTTTTAATTAAGCTTTGACTGCTTATATAGTTATTAACGGTCGGCGGACACGCGCGGCTGAATAAAAGGGGCAGAAGATCAGAGCTGAGGGGGTGTTTGTCTTTTTCATGGCCGTCAAAGCGCATTAAATCCCTGTTTCTGCCTGCATTCTGCATTATTCAGACACGGACCCTGCTCTGACATGTCTGCTTTGGGATCTCATCTGTTTGGGTCATTGGCCGTGTGCGTCCACTGAGTGCAGCGGCTGAACGTCCATTTGGGCGATGGATCGCTTCCTGGCAGTATAGTCCCATCTGAAGCTTAACTGAACTTTATTTTACCTCTTTCAAGGCCCGTCAGCTCGTGGTCAAATGGCCGCTTGCTGCTGGCGATGGTATGGCAGGCCACGCTGCCATATAATTGAAATGTATGGCAAGCCATGTTGCCATATAATTGGATCGCCAGCCGCCCGCGTCCGCTGACACAATCTAAAGTCCGACTCCGACCCGGCCTGCCCATCCAGCACAGTATTATGGCCGGGCCGGGCTTTGTGCCCGGGTTAGAAAGGACAGCTCTACTGTAAAGCAGGTTTCTACATTTTCATGTAGAAATCATTTCATTTGATGGCTATTTCTTGTAAAAAAAACATGCTTCATGGACACACAATCACTTGTAATTGCACATTTACATGACGTTCTTGCAAACAGTTGAAAGTCTTTTTTGGTGTTTTGTGGTCTGTCAGGATCTTTTTTGGAACAAACTGTTTTTTTAAAGCTGCAGTTAATGGATTCTCTATCATCTCAACAGAGTATTCTCTTTTTCCTGCTTTGCATTCAATGTTTGGCTTTTTTTCCGCTATGTCAAACTTTTCACCACTAACTCTTTATTTTCCTGCCTTTATTAACCAAAGCTTTTCCTTCTCCTCCTTTTCCTCCGATGCCTCCAGCGCTCGTTATGGGAGCCCCAAACGGCAGCTGCAGTTCTACAGGTACCCCGTCTGTAAACGAGTCGGTCTTTTCATTGTGATGTAAACAAAGTTCAGATTTTATTTTTGTTTATGTGAATTGTTTGGTTGTAACGTATATTGATATACGTTGTTGGGTTTTGCATCTACATGCCATTTTTAGAACATCTTCTATATTTCATTCTTTTGTGGTAACCTTGCTGAAAAGACTTGTTCTGTCATTTAAAACCATCCCTCCATCCTCAGCAGCATAGATAACACACCATCTAATATTTAGCTGCCATTGCATATCCAGCTTAAACCTGATAGGGAGGATGATGGATTTTATTACAAGGTTTCTCAAAAAACCTTTGACTCAACAAACACTGTCTGCATTATTTTTCCCCCTATTCCTGATTTTTACATTTGTTTTCCCAGGAGTGACATTTGAGATTCCTACTACTTTAAGCCTCAAAAATCTCCTTGATTTAGGCTCACATCCTTTACTAAATTGCTTTTTACTTTCTCAGACATAGCAATTTTTAACTTTTTAATTTTTAGTTATTGGTAAACTGCTTCTGTTGACTCTATCATGTCTTCTTGAAATCAGAGAAATCATTTAGGTCGTTTTTGGGGATGAAAAGGCGCTTTCATTAACTAGACCACGAGCTCCTAAGCGTTTAGATGGTCAGTCTACTTTAGAGCACGGATCATATTTTATGGTTATAATATCAGGCCTTATTCTGCTGATGTAGTTATAAAAACCCCTGACTATGTGGATGTGCTTGTAATGAGCTCACTATCAGATATTTTATTTAATTTTTTTATCTTGGCGCCTTGTACATTTCTGTCCTTTTAAAGTTCAAAATGTCTAATGAGCTGTTTTTCTGGCTTACATGGAGGGGATCAATTAAACCCCCTTTCTGTGGGATGATGCTGGAAAGGAAAGTTCAGCTCTTATTTGGGCAGCTGTGGCTGAGTGGTTAGAGCAGTCGCCCTCCAATGGGAGTTGGGGGTTCAATTCTACCACTATCCAGTCGCATGTTGAAGTGTCCATGGTCAAGTCACTCAACCCCTCATTGTCTCTGATGTTTGTCCCATCGGTGTATGAATGTGATCTAAAGCACTGATTAGTTTCTTTAGAAGGATTTGTTCCATTAGCTTTCTACATATGTAACAGAATTAATGGGTAATTGAGGGCACAGATTGTGTTATAAAGCCCTTGGAGTATCTTGATTAGATAGAAAGGCGCTATATAAGTACAGTCCATTTATTCATCTCAACATGTTATTGGTTATACAGACTGTATTTCGGTGAATAAGTACTATTGTTCATGCTTTACTTTGCTGTGATAAATTCCAACTTTTGCTCTGTCATACTAAAACATCATACTGAATGCTGTCTGCATTTTATTTATTTATTTTGTTTGTTAAATTGTTTTATGTTTATTTACCCAGGTTTCATTTGAAATTTACTCAGTATTCACAAAATTCATAAAAACGAAAGATCCAACAATTTGTATTGAGTTATCATGTTGTGGTATCACTTAGAGATCTCAATTATTTGAAAGACCTTAACTAGACTGATAAGATACTTTGAACTTGTTGAATTTGCTTTTCCATTTACACCCTCTAATGGTTTGAACCTTACCAAGATAGTTCTTACAGTGGTCTATCATTTTTACTAGGGATGCACAATAATATCAGCATGGTATCGGTATCAGCCGATGTTAGCAATAAAGTTAAATATTGGACATCGGCCATTCCATCAAAATAACTCACTGATATAAAAGGCTTCTGTTTTAAGTTATTTTTTAATTTAAGAAACGGTGAAGTTAATGCACGTTAATGCTATTATTGCACTACTACTTATATACTTTTCACTTGTTGCTTGTGAACAGGTTGAGTTAAGATTTGTGAAATTTTACAAATTTGCACTGTTCCAGTGTTGTCATTGTGTTGGAGAGAGTAAATGTCATGAATAAATTTGACATTAAACATAATCCAAGTTGAAGTGTTACATCATTTTCAGCCCCCTTTATGGCATCTGTATTTGGTAGCAGGCCAAACTGACAAAGACCATGCAGAATAATGTAGTATTTTAATTCCACAGCAGAGAAAGTTATGTAGTCTCTGTAAGTTGGTCTAGGAAAAAAAATGTTAGTACTGTTATTGGTTATTGGCCAATTCAGTTTTAACATATCGGATATCGGCCAAAAATCCAATATTGTGCATCCCTAATATTTACTTGTATAAAAATTTTAAAAAATCATTAATATATTTGGCTTTGTGTGTGTGTGTGTGCGCACGCGTGTGTGTGTGTTCTGTATTGTGAATACGTTGCCTCAGACCTTCAACTTATAAATTGTCAAACACACTTGTAAAGTTTTGTACCAGTTAAAAAAAAAAAAACTATATTTATTTAAACTATAGTGTTACTTTACTGTACGTCATTCACTGAATGATTTTTTTTACCTCCATATATTTTAGAATGCACCAAACATTTTTTGTATTTTGAGAAATTTCATGTCTTGGTGTAAAATTTAAACTTGAATTGCAGCTATGGTTTCAGTGATTACTGGTGTTACTGGTCTCACAAGATGTCAAAATAGCCACATGGAGGCAGAAACATGCCTGTTAATGCCTTCCACATCAGCTCAGTGATGTAAATTCAGTCATCTCTACCTGTCAGCCAGGACACTCAGCAGATGAGCGTGTGCAGCCCAGGTTATTGTGACTTTTCCTGTGCACACTGAAGCACATTTCCATCTAAAAAGGTGGTGCCAAAGATACAACAGACAAAAAAAAAAGACCTCGAGTCAAACTACAAGCAGACGAAAAACATTGAGACTTGCTTCTATCAGCATTTGGATAATTGATCAGGAATCAGAAGGACACAAAAAACCATGTCCAGTTGCTGGTGTAAAAGCTAACTTTATTTATTTTTTCTTCTTGTTTTTAGAATAGACAGTTAACAAACCAGTACATAAGTACCACTTGGCTGTGGTGAAAACTGTAGACTCCTGAGTGGAACGCTTTGATACAGCTGAGCTATGAACACCGGTGTGCACATGCTCAAACGGTTGCTTACATAGTCGAGGCAAAGCATGAACAACTACGGCTTAAAGCCTGCATCCAGAAAGACAATGTGTCAATTTACAGCAGTCAACATATGCAACCCAGGACACTGGGTGACTTGAAAAGTAGTTTTTATGTTATGGACAAAGATGAATTAGTAAAAGTCTATGAAATCATAGACACAAAAGCATTTCAATAAGCAGGACTGCTAAGTTCTGTGTGGAAGCCTTATGATGATGCAATCTGTAATTTTAATACTCAACATGAAGACAGTTTTATAATTATTCGCTTGAAGAAGTGGGAAACTGTGTGTTTGTGTATGCGTGCTTCCTACGCTCACACCGTCCACCCTTTATTGTCCAGCTCTTAGCATTCTTTCCTGTGGAACAACAATCAGAGGCTTTTAGAGCAAAAAGCTTTTGTGAATAATTCAGGGCTGATATTATTTGCTGCGGTTAGCAGAAACAAGACGCACCACTAAACGACATAAATGGATTTCTTCCACGAGATCTTCTAGGGGAGGGGAGACGGAGGAGAGGTGTTGGTGCTGGTGCTAGAGAATGGACTGAGCAGTTAGGGGAGGGATGCACTCTCTGATTCACTAATTGCTTTAGGCATTTCCTAGTAGGACACTCCCAGTTTGGGTGGACCTGCTTCTTGATTGTCTGCAGTGTGTGTTTATAAGAGCAAACTGACACCAGACAATCTCGCTCATGAGCCGACCCTCAAGAAATCGGGTGAGTTTCAGGAAAGAATTGCTCTCGCATACGTCAAGTGTGTTTGTCTGCGTGCAGGTTGTGTGTGAGAGAACTTCATGCAAAGAGAGTTTGTGTGTGTGTGGTCTGCATGTAGCCCAGCCTGAAGTCTCCTGAATTTATTTTCTGTCTACGTGCAGCCAAACCAGGTACATTTACGACAAATTTTGAGATTTGGTCATACTTGAAACTGATCTTATGCACAAATATATGAATACATCTTTTATCAGATAATTTAGTATTGATATCAGTAACAGATATTGGGTGCAAAAAATAACTGTGATATTTAATTTGAGGTTGCTGTTGCTTTAAATCTTTTTTTTTTTATTTTTTTTTTAGATTTTAGAGGTTTATTGTCAGTATTAAGCTCTGTGAGATGCTTTGCTTGAAAACAAAGATCTGACGCATTTGCTCGTTTCTTGCATAGATAATTTACCATTTAGCCTTTTTATAAACTACTGTATGTGAATGTTTTGTTTTATAATTGGAATTCATTGATTGTAATTTGATTTGAATCTTAATCTGTTTTGAACTGAATTTGATTTATACATTTTACTATTTTTTTTCTTTGTATGAGATCCTTGCAGACTTCTGCTGTGTATTGGAGCTATGATTGATTTTAATAATGTTTTACAATTGTTCTATTGGTCAGTAAATATTTAAAGGATCAGTATAGTGTAGAGCTTAAGCTACTATGATTCAATATATCGCTGCCTTTTTGTTATATTTGAGCAAATATTTGATTTATCTTTTTTTTTAAGTTATCTTGGGTATTTTTTATAAATATTTTGTCAAATCAGCTGCAAGGAAATAGAGTTTTAAAAGAGATTAAGCCAAAACAACAAGTGTTACTTAGTTCTATTATGAAGTTAAATCATTTTTATCCTGTTTTAAGCAGCTCTATTCAATTGTCATTTAAAATTTTTGTTTGTTTTGATTAAAATGTAGATTTTTAGTATATATGTTCACTGTATCTTTGAGTAATGTTATCTTTTAGTTTTGCGTGTTGTACAGTTGTCGTCTCAATGTGATACACTGCCGTTACTGAAAAAGGGGTTTTGTGGTCTGTCCTTTCTGCTGTGTTTGGTATTAAGTTGCTTTCTTTTATTGATGATTCAGCTGACACAGTGCTGCCCTCTGTTGAATAATTTCAGGTAGATACTTTTGATAGACCTAAAATATGAAGGGACGAGAAAGCATGTGACGTAGAAGAGCAGAAACAGCTGGAAACACTGCTAGTTGAAGCTTTCTAAATTTACTGATCTTGAAATTGAGCTCTTCAAGGATTTATGACAAATATTGTTCAGTTGTTTGGCTGTTTTCTTGTTCCTTATTGTGTTACGCTCCCAACAGGCTTGTTGCACCTTTGTATTTAAGTTTAAATTCTGTACTTTTAGCAAGTTGCTATGCCTTTTTATTAGTCACCTCAGAAACAGCTATGGGAGCATACCTCCTGATTTTGCTTGGTGCATGTTCGAATGTCTCCCCTTTTACCAGACAGCATGTGTCCTTTTTAGTCCTGCTCTTTGCTCACCAGCAAGTCGATCACCTGGATGCTCCCCCTTAGTGTAACCCTGCCGATATGCACCTGTAAGGGGAGGGTGGTGCTGGGCTATGTTGTGCGACTCTGATTACAGGATGCATGGCCATGTGCTGTCCCAAGCAGGAGCGCTTTTTTTTTTATGGGAGCAGGTGCTATTTAAGGAGGTGACTGTGCCCTGACAGCTCCTCGCTTAGTCCGTGGCACTTTATTATTTGTTGCACGGGTCAAACCCAGCATCACAAAAAAGAAGAGAAACAGGAAGGGACAGGGGGAGCATGTTTTCGGGAGGGTATACCGGTGGCTCCCGGGGGCCTCCAGTCAAGCGCAGGTCCAGTTATTGTCCTCCTGAAAATCCTCAGATTCCCAAACCGCCAGCGCCAGGCAGCGGTGTTCGGAAGAGCAGCAGCAGCGGCAGCGGCAAGATGCTGTCCATGTCATACAGCGAGAGCATCCGGAGCGGGATCAACCGCTACCACTCGGACCAGGGGCTGAATCAGCCCCCGTCCAGGCCCACGGACCAGGTTGAGCTGCAGAGGCTGCGCGAGCAGAGGATCGCCGCTCAGATTAAGAACATGGAAGACTTCCTGAAGATGAATGGCTTAGCCCTGGAGGAATGTGTGTCTTTTCAGACAGGCATGAAGTACAGGTAAGAGAGTGGAGGAGCAGGACAGGGACTGCATAACTTCCTGGACTGGGGCAGGGGTGTGTGCTGAGAGGCAGCAGGTGAAATCATCTTTGTTCTTGAAGAGGTTTAAAAGTTTGAGTTCTCCTAAACACGTGTGTTTTCCTAACCCTGTTCTATGGAGGCTTTGCTTTCTGAAACATATACGCCATTGCAACATTTCTACCTGCTTCTTTTCTGATATCACCTCAGCCTTGTTCTGTCCTCTGGTCAGCCTGCATTCATGCAACGATACCTGGGTCCAGGTTTTATTTTAATCATCTAGGTCGGTGGCATATTTGCCCAACTATGTGAGAAGGACAGACTGTTCCATAAGGATTTATCTGGCCTCATAAATTCACACACTTCGCTCGATCACACAGTCTTCCTTTCCTGTTGATCTGACCTTTATAGTTCATTTTTCAGATAATTGTCATCAGCATACTCGTAGGGTGTTTAAAAACACCAAATCTATACATTTATTAATACTACGTTAGATATGTTGCAGATATTGCTTATTTTTTGTAATGACATTTGAGAGGGTTATTTTATTTTTGTGCCTATTTTAATATTGTAATATATGAAGCTCTTCTAGACATTGAAAATAGGGATGCACGATATTGGATTTTTGGCCAATATCCGATATGCTGATATGTTAAAACTTATTTGGCCGATAACCGATACTAATATTTTATATACTTCCATTTGTCAGAACATAGCTCTCTTATTTAGGCTTATTTGCTACCAAAATTGTGTAACAGCTGTAAGCGCTGGTGACATATATTCAGTGACAGACATATGATATGCATTGCACTTTAACTTATATTAAGTGAAAAGTGTTAAATGCTATTTATTAGCATTAGTCACCTGCAATGCTGTCTCACTTGTGGAGGCTTGTTCCAGGTTCCTAGCTTTTTCAAAAAAAAAAAAAAAATTAATTTACCCTTTATTTATACAGGTAGTCTCATTGAGCCACGAGAACTCATTTTCAAGAGAGACTTGTTTTTTTTAGGCAGCAGATGGTGGGGGTTAAGGGCCTTGCTCAGGGGCCTAGAGTGGGGCGAATGAGGGTGGAGGGAGGTGTGGGTGTTTCACCTTTTCCACCCACATTTTGATGTTGACGGTACCGGGAGTTGAACCTGCGACTTTCCGATCACAGGCCCATCTTCTAACCGCTGCACCACCACACCCCCACAGCTGCAGTGTGGGATCCTCTGCACTCTTGTGCATGAAGGACAGCCTTTTAAAGTTCAAAGTTTTGTCTATCCATTGTACCGTAAGACCACTCATGCTAACGGGGCTAACATGACGTCCAAATGTCTGTGGTAATACTCACCCAAGTGCTATTGGCTATTAGCTTCTCAATGACATTGGAAATTACAGCATGTAACTCGGGTAAGGCTACGTTGGAAAAATATCTCCAACTGGGTACGATGTAGCGAGGCTCAAATCTTCGGAATCTGACAATAAATAAAAAAACTTCCACACCGCTGACATTTTGACTTCTTCCTCTCCGCCATAAGATCAGGTAGGTGCGCGTAAAGTCATCAGGTTGTGCTGCCGCTGCAGGCATCCTTGTCACTGGGTTGTCATACAAAAACAGTGCCTTTTATATCAGTGATTTATTTTGATGGAATGGCCTATGTCCGATATTGAACTTTAACGCTAATACCGGCCGATACCATGCCGATAATATTGTGCACCCCTAATTGAAAATAGTATTGTATTACAAATATCATACAAAGCATTTTGTTTAAAAAAACAACAACATTTATACCAAGTCAAGATCCAAACGAAAGAGTCCAAAAGCAGAATGTAAAACTTGTATTTTTATATGTTTAGTTTTTCTGAGCATCAGGTATCATGTATGCCTTTCTAATTGGCCTGACATGCTATATGTAGCTAGACAGACACTTTAAAGCATCTGCTCATTTGGCACTAAACCAAATAAGCTATTTCATGGACTGTTGAGCTGACAGAGCAGCAGGCTCAGCGTCTGTTGTGTTGGCTTATTAAAGCCTGTTGGGCTGATATTGTTATTGCTAAAGGGTATGGATAGTGTTCATCACACAGAGGCATTGCTGCTGTTGTTATTCTCTCAAAGCAGTGACTAGAACACAGGTTTGGTTGGCCTTTACCAGATACTCCTGTCCTCTGCAGACAGTGTTGTGTGTCACCTCTTATACTTATTTTCCTGCTGTGTAAAGCTCTGTTACTAGCCCATGACAGGCTCAGATGAACTTCTGGGAGCTTGTAATAGTTTAGTTTGTAGTTGTTTGAAAAAACTTTTTTTTAATTTTTGTAGTTTCTTACCTTTGATGTTTTTATTTTCTTAATAGTAGTTATTTTAATCAGGTAAGAAAAATTTATTGTTTTATTTTTGTGGACCTGTTATTAACCTTGTGCTTTGGTTACCAGTTAGCTAATCTAACAGGGGAAGTGTTTCCAGGTTGCCCCGTACCCCGAATTTGATCATCCGCAATTTTGTAATTAGCTCCGCAACTTAGGTCCACAAGTACATGTAACCTCTGACTCAAGCTCATCATTATTTCAGGTGTGTGGTCTGGAAGGTGAGCCAGCTCAGTCCCATTTACATGAACCACTCTTGTTTCTTGAGAGTACAGGTTAAAATGTATTATTCTGCCCTCTCCGGCTCACGAAGGTCTCTGGGTGTTAGTTTTCATCCACAGCACATAGCTTAAGAAGCAAAAGTGTTCTCAAGAAATCTACATATTTTCTCATCATAACAGAATTAGTCAATATTTTAAATTGTACCAACAAGTATCTTTGATATTAATTATAGTTATCCATCCATCCATCCATCCATCCTTTATCTTCCGCTTGTTCCAAAGTTGGGTCGCGGGGGCAGCAGCTTGAGCAGGGCGGTCAAGACATCTCTTTCCATAGCCACCTCTTCCAGCTCTGTTGAGAGGATTCCAAGGAGTTCCCAGGCCAACCAAGAGACATACTCAGTCTCTCCAGTGTGTCCTGGGTCTTTCCTGGTCTCCTCCCAGTCATACATGCCTGAACCACCTCCCTAGGGAGGCGCTCAGGGAGCATCCTTTCCATATGTCTGGAGGAGCAGTGGTTCTACTCAGAGTTTCTCCTGGATAACTGAACTTCTCACCCTATCTCTAAGGGAGCGTCCTGCTACCCTTTAGAGGAAACTCATTTGAACTGCCTGTATCCACAATCTTGCTCTTACGGTCACTACAACTCTAGGTTTTTAATTCTTATTATAAATATTAAACAGTTCAAAGGACTTTAAAGTGAAAATAGTTGTTTTCTCTATGTTGCCCCAAAAATGTAGAACTAGCGCAAATGAGTTTCATTCGACCAGCAGTAAACTTTGCCTAGCCTTTAAATCGTCTCAATTGAAAGTTCAAGGTTGTAGATAAAGGAGCCAGCTAGAGTTCAGAAAGGCGAGACAGGAAGTGTTGTGTCTCCCAGATTACATACGGAGTGAGTATAGATTTCTTGAGTGACTTAAGACTAATGGACCTATTAATGACATCCATTTATATGTTTCTAGAAAATTATATTTGACCATCAGTGTACTTCTATGAGGAGCACATCTTTTTCTACTCATTGTGAAAAGCATTAATGTTATAGATTGTTTGAGCTTTCTGCAGTAAACTGTAAATACACATATCTCATATTAGAACTGTTTTTGATCCACTTGCTTAGGTTGATGTTTTGTGCTCTGTATTTAACTTTATGAATGCTGCATTAAGCAAATCCTGACCAGTAGGAGGCAGAAATATGCATACAGTACTACATTTAAATCCAGTGCCAATAACCCTGGTTTATAGAGATGTTATATATGTGACACTGTTCCTAAATGTTCCATTGTTTTAACAAACTGCAGACAATAGACACATATTAGCAATATTTTTCTGTTTTGTTTTGTCTTAACCTTTTTCCAACCCCTTTGACTCTTTCTGCCTGTCATTCAGTTTTACATTTACATACTGTGAAGCATTTCTAAACGGAGACAAAAAAAACTTTAGTTTTAGAGTTGCAGACTACTTTTCTGTTCTCTGTGCAGCACTATGAACAACCTTTTTATACCATTATTCAAATGGACTAACTAGTCTAAAAGTGGTGATTAATAAAGATTGGAGAGGAATATTCATTATATTATAAATAAATTGGTTCAAAATAAAGAACTAGAAACTAAAATATAAATTTGTCCATTCAATTTCCACACGGTTAGGATGGGATGAATTTACAATTTAATTATGAACCAAAATGTACTTAAACAACCCAAAAATGTTAATTTATACAATGAAGAAGCTGAAGTAACAGACTGTTTAAGCAGAAAATAGATTTTAATCTAAACATAAAAAGTTTGACATTGCCTTTCTAGACGTTTTAATTGTTACGCACCTTTGTGTTGAAGCTGTAAATTAAGTTTAAAAGCAAGTCTAGGAAAATACGACCTAATTTAATTGAATTGAGTTCCAGTTTAGTTTGTTTATGTAGCATCAGTTCACAGCAAGTTTAGTTGAAATTTAAACATATGCAGTTCAGGTAAGTCATATAAAGTATGGAACAACTGAATTGTACAAAATAAATTAAACATTTACACAATGACTAGCAAAAAGTTATAGCTCATATCATTTGATGTGGGGTTAAAAATATCTTGAACAATTATCTTACCTGTTCTAGATGATCAGTTTGATGGGCTAATGGCTAGTCTGAGAAGGGCCAAGACCAAAGTGAATTGCTGCCATCTTGGCTCCAATCAAAAAATCAATTGTAACAATTGTTGACTTCTCTAGTTATTTTGAATGTAAATAGTGGCAGTAGCAGCTGTCTGTAGCCCTTCCTGTTCAGATAATAACATTTCTGCTGACATAAGCATCTAATCAAAGTTCATGCTCCATCATCCATGTACAAAATCCAATAATGGTCAGTCAGGTAATCTGGACAGTTTTTTTTTTTTTTTTTTTTGTGGAAAGACGTTTTGCCCTCTATCCAGA